CTCTCTCTCTCTCTCTCTCTCTCTCTCACTCACTCACTTCTTTTTCTGTATAATTTCTTCTGCCTTTTTCTTACCTGGTGAGAAAGTGGTGCGCACACACACATTTCCAACCATCAATCTGCTTTGAAAGACTCATTACATTTAAAATCCCTTTGAGCAATAAAAATACTTGCAGCTACACCTCAAAAAAAATTATCTTGGAACCATGGGAGGCACTGGCTGAGCCTGATAAACAGCCCAACAGTAATTATCCAATCAGCTACTTTCTTTTTCATCTGCAGACATTTGGTCAGCGGGGAGGAAAGCCTCACTCTGAGGTAGTAATTGCCTCCTCGAAGGCGATGAATCTCACACCAACTGTGCCATTGCTACCCTCGACGGGAGACCAATCCAAACAGATTGCAGTTCAGCGTAATCACCTTTCTGGCACTCAAACACGTCACAGCAGTCTCCCGGCAGGCCGCTGGCCTGGCTGAGCAACACGGCTCGCTGTCCGCCCTGGCACTGAGGCTTGTGGCAGGCACGGAGGTCACAGGTGCACTGGGGAGGAATAGAGGGACAGCAGCCAGCAGGGGGTGTGTAGCTCTTTGTCAGGACTGATCCGTGGGGGCAGGAGGGCACCTGCAGAGCGGGACATGTCACCCCGGCACACCTCAGCTCCTCTGAAACACACAGATATTGGATGCATGTTCACTTTGAGACACAGGTGGGTATGCAGCAAACACAATATGCAAGAAAAAAAATAAACAGTGACACAGCTTTGGCATCTTTTTCATTTTCATAGTTTCTGTGAAAGAGATTCTGCAACAACATGTTCTGGGCTCTGCTCTGGGCTCTGACAGTACACACTGTATTCTCCTGCAGGGAGGAAGGGTTGCGTGTGTGAGGGCGGCCTCCTCCTTGCAATGTCAGTTGAGCCACTTCAGAACAGCGCTGCTCGTGTTACGGTCTAAGAGTTGAGTTCACACAGCCACCCAACACAAACTCTTGTGCGCAGTCATCAGATCCCCACTTCAGCCTAAGACAGCTTTGAAGCATCCTGTCAGAGAAGTGAGAGCGGTGCTCCGGCCACGACAAGGCTCTCTCTGCATATCCTGTCTACGAGCCTCTGATCCCACCCGGCCGGGGCCGACCGGCTCGCAATCCAAACAGCCCCTCACGCTCGAAAACCAGTCATTAATAGCAGCCAACTTTCAACAGAGTCTTTCTTCTTGGCAGTTGAGAATCTCCCCTTCACTTAGCATACCAGGACGTGTTTGTCTATTCATTTGCCAGAGCCAACATAATAGCTGTGATACAGGGGGGGTTGCAGGGGTACTGGAAATGGGCAAGGGGCTCTGGGGTGTATTTTGGAGCCTGTTCAGGAAAAGAAAAGTGGAGCGCCCCTCTGTACAGACATTGTATGAGAACAGTAGCCACCTTACAAAGATTAGATTACCCAAACGTGTTTATTTTGGTTCTCAGTGTCACTGTAATGTATACAGTGCAGGTAGAAGAGAGGGATTGGCGAGAGCAGACCCGCGTCCTGTCCTATAATTGTCAGTCACTAAGTCATTTCCCAGCTGAAAGCGCAGTACAAACAGCTTTTGTGGCACTATGACCGCTGAAAGGAAAAAGAGAGAAGACAGCGTTGACAAGCAAAAAGATTATGGATGAATGTGAGGAAAGTCTTTTAATTGTGAGTTAAGTATAAATCACCACTAACATTTAAAGGAGGAAACGTGTCAATAAACAGCTGCCTCATAAAGTGTAATCATTAAATGAGGTGGATTATGATTTAGTTGTGAGGAATACTTGAGAATCTTTGCATACATATGGTTTTTGAGGAGAGGGAATGATACAGGCCGAGATTGTGTAACAGCACTCTGGGTTTTGGCCGTGTTTTCCAGAAGCTTTGAGTTTTGTTGATGGTCTTCCCAGACCGTTGCTGGCTCCACTGCGCAACACAAGTCTCTCAGAGGATGTGCCTCATCCCTGACATTTGAAGACCTGTAAGTGGATCCCTCTTAGGTTTTGCCACCAGATGAGGAAACTGAACCGGTGAGCCGTTGGGGTCCAGACTTCTGATCCCATGATAATAGTATTGCTCTGCCAGTCTTCAACTCCAGATAAGCACCTCTGAATCACATCGTATATTCCAGGTTTATTAGATGAACTGTCTGGTTATTTGATGTCTACATGACTCAGAATAAACATTGAGGAGAGGAGGCTGTGAGACTTTGACCGCTGTGCTTTGGCGGAACAGATGAAATCAAGGGAAACATTGAATTTAGCTGGTTCCAGATAAATAGAAAAGGAGTGTGAGTGTATCTGTAATGTACTGTTTACCAAAGCAACCTGGGAACATTGAGGCCACCACAAAGTTCTCATTGATGAACTTTAAGATGAATGGTGTCATAGAAAATGAGGGTGACACCTTGAATTGACAGAGGCTACGACCATTTTAATGGTTTTTTGGCCTGATTCTGATGCTGGAGTTAAATACGCTTCAGTTGGAAGTGCTGATTGGTGAATGTTTTACTTCCAATAAAGTGTGACGCGCCCTGCTGCTGCTCAGTTGAGGACTGGTTTTGCATATGAAAACCTCACACTTTTTAAAGCCGTATAAAAATGCCATGGGACGATCTTGCACAATGTTCTGCACTGAAAAACACATTATGTGTCCTGTATGTGTCCCAGAGAAGGCTGATTACTCTTTCACTTGTGATAATGGCTGGGGTTAGAGTGCGCTGGGAAAAGCAGCTGGCAGACTTACCATTGTCATTTAAATTAATAGAATTGTATCCATCTGTGGAAATGGTCCAGCCCTTGCAGGTCCAATTAATATAATTTCGTAGCAGGCACATTTGTAAGCCCAGTAGGCAGACAGAAGAAAGGGTGGAAAAAGTCAGCAACAAATGGATTTTATCCCGTGCTGTTTGGGTTGTATCTTAGCATAAATGGCTGTAATTAGTGAATCGACAGCCACAGAACCAATCTTCATATCACAATGGTGGCCATACTCCAGCTTGCACAAACACAAAAGGCCTGATCTGGTATGGTTGATAAACTCTCTCTGCAGATTAGGCAACGTGCTCTCGTACAACTGTAAGATAGCAAAGAATGGGAAACCTTTGACCTCAGTGCACAATCAGCAGACAATATACAGCCCCCCACCTCCCTGCCACACACACCTGCCACTGGTCTGGAAGAGGTGGGAGGAGGAAATTGCTTCATTACCACAGAATAGCCTCTTTTGTAAACAATGCATATTTCTGGCATCGCAGCGTCTAATTGAAGAAAGAAAAACACCTCCTTTCTAAATGGGTTTTTTCTTCCCTTCAAGCTCGGATACAAGGAGCGCAGTCTTTCTCCGAACCGGAGCGGCTCAACCAGGCAGAGGACGCTGTGTTGACAGCCTGAGTTTACTCATGGAAAAAGCGCACAATGTGAGTTCTGTTCACCGACTGACTTTGGAAGCAAGTCAGAGGAGAACAAAGCTGTCTCAGTCCAGCTGCCCTCCGTGGGTTTCTGGTCTGTCCTCAGGTTTTATAAAGTTGCTCCGCAAAGGGACACATCGGGGCCGTCTCTCACGTAAAAGCTGTGGGGGTCTGGCCCAGTGCCCACCAGCAGTTACAGCTGAGAAAGTAAGCATTGTTCCCTGTTTGTGTCAGCGTGTGTGAGAGTATTTGTGAGGACCATGGAGCAGGTCTGGGAGGGGGTCCAGATAGAGAGGAACAGACTGGGGTCACCTGGAAGAACTTCACACCGTGGTCAGAAGCCTGTGGCGGCCAGGCGTAGGCATGCAGCAGCCAGCAGGCCTACATCTGCTGCCTGCACGCCTGGCTCTCTTACACTTAGGCTAAATATTTGCAGATGAAAAACGTGATCTCAGTGTCCTAAGAAACGCAGCTACAGCTGTGAATGAGCATGTTTGAGTGAGGTCATGAAATTATCCACGTGTAGATGCACATTTGGACATAGATATATTAATATATGTGTGTGTGTCTGTGTGTGGATCGCTAGTGTACATGTGCGCATTCCATTGAAACACACCCTTTCCTTCACATCAGATGGCCAATAAGATTAGGCCAACAACAGAGAGCGCAAGGGACCTCTATCAGCATAAAGGGTCTGTCCAGAGAGCAACAACACACATGCTCTATCACCATATCTGGCACAATTGCGTATGAAAAGAGTGAACATTCTCCGCTCCAGGGTACTTTACATAAAGCACTGGAAAGCAAATCGAAACCGTTGTCACGTGTACTGTCTCTCAGAGGACACGATACCTCTGACCTGATCTGTAGCAAATGTAGAAAATACTCCATGGGAGACCTGGGGTGAGCACAGCTGTTGAATAAATTGTGAAAAAGGCAGTTGAGTTAAGAAATGGATTTTGGCCATATGTCTGTTCGCTTTAAGGGAATAAAGGGGAAAGAATAGCCGATGATAGAAGAAATAGGTCTGGGAACAACAGGAGTTGGCTTTAGCTGCAGTCGGGGTATCTCTAATTTATTAATGGTTATGGTTGGGTCAATAAACTGAGGTTTTAGGTCTAGATTTAGTGAATGGAGAGAAGTTCGGACATGCAGGAATGTTGATGCTGGCTAGTTTGGTCTGCGGCTGACCGTGAGTAGTGAGTGGGTTGAGAGCAATCCCAACATGTCTTAAAGGGAAGTTCTTTGTGTTGATTGTCACACAAGAGTTTTGTTTCCTCTTTGAAATCCCTACCCACACACTCACACACACAAATACACACACACCCTGGGAAACGAGCAGCTTGCAGGGCACAACAGCTTAGGCAGACGGTGCACAAACACACGCCACCGAGACGTCTCGCGCCCCTGCCAGCCAGTGGCGGTCTGGCTCGGCCAGTAAACGCCCTGCCACAAAGAGGCTGCAGAGAAGCAGAACTAACAGTCCTTTCACTGGAGCAGAGGAGATGCAGGATGGAGGTGGCATAGGTGGGCAAGGAGAATTGTGGGAACAAGTCAGTTTGTGTCATGACATTATAACAGGCAGCACCTCCCTGTCTGCTGAAGGCTGCTGTGGCTTGTTCCTGTCAGTATGCAACAGCAGGGGAATTCCTCTGAAATAGCAGTAGGGGTCTTATCATGAATGAAATATGTAAACTATCCTAGAGTGTAAAATAACCAAACACCACCCAACCAAGGCTCTGGGGCCTGTACTTGACACAAATACCTCAACAAAACGGCCAACTTCACTTGTGATTTCCTGTCTTCCTGAGTCTGCCTCGCCTCCTCCTCATCCTTCTCCTTCACTTATCACATCCTCTTTAACTCCCTGACATGTGGCTGATACGTCTGGAGTTCTGATTGAACGTTTGCAGCCAAAGTACATCAGCACCATGCAGAGAACATTCTCCCACTGACAGGGCTGGTGATGAAGCAGTGATGAGGCGGAAAAGATGTTGAGTTTTAACAGATCTGGGTGAGTCACAGCTTTTAGGGATGAACTGTAAAGACCACTGAGTGAGTCAGAGGGAAAGTGAAAGGCCAAACTACCTCCATGTGTGACAATGGGGCTACATCCATACAACTAGGTTTTTGTTTGTTCTTTTTAAAACTAAAACAATCTCTGTCCACACAAGCATTATTTTGGCTCCATATAAGTTGTAATCCCCACCTGAAAAAGTATATCATGTGACGACTCAAGTACACTGTGCAAGTGCATGCCGGTCTCAATAGGAAGGCAAGTGCATACTGCTAGACATGGGATTTGTAGCAGATTGCTCGGATAAAATGTAGAATTTAACCGTAAAACAGCTGTTAGCAACAGCTTATAACTAGTTGTGTTCTACACCGGTAGCTGAGGCTAATACTTGTTGTTTTCCTCTGAAAGGGGGTCATGTGATAAGACCATGATGAATCAGCAAAGGCTCTGTCTTGACCAAAAAGAACCAATCAGCAAGTAGTTGTGAGCGGTTGTTTACATTTGAGTTTCTGCCCGTACAGATAAAAATGCAGCCCTGGACTTTACAGACTAAAACGGGACCAGTATCCATAACATACCACTGCAGTTATGGATGTAGCCTGAAGGCCACTTCAAGTGCTGGGATACAAGGTCTGAACATGAAGACAAGTGCAGTAAGCGTGGCTCCCGCGCCTAGAGAACAAGTTTACAGGACACGGTTGCTTCCAGACTCTGAACTGCTCGCATCCAAAGACAACGAGGGATTGATGGACCCTATCACCAGCGAATAAGATCCTGACCACAGAGTCCCGGCCCTTCACAGAGGAAGCTCCTGCTGATGACAGACAAAAGGAAAATCTCTGCCTAGACATGGAGACAAACAAGATAATTATCACACACATGCGCGGACGCAGACATGCAGGCTCGGATGCTCTGCTCACATATACATGCTCATCATTACACACGTGATGACATGCAAAACACATGCAAGCACGCGCATGTGTGCATCATTCCACAATCTTACAGACAGCAGCAGACACACATATCCTGGTCTCTTACTTAATGAGGGGCCATCAAAAGGGGTGGGTGTGTGCTGTGGTGAAAACTCATAAGCTGCTGAAAAATGTTGTTTACAGTTTTCACTGGTGCAAGTTGAAACTGTCACCCGTTTGGGCTCTGACTTTGAGATGAGGCGGTTACAAAACACAGAAGACTAACAGTGCGTCTTTCATCGCAACGCTAGACTTCAACGATGATATGTCTAAACAATATCATGTCTGATGAGCGTACTTCCTGTGGGATTTACTGAGTAAATTGCTCAAGGCAAGCATCCACACAGCTGTACTGTAAATGTTCTGCTTCAATCTCAATGTGTAATTTGCAAACTAAAACTGTGAGATGCTGAACTACGGATATTCTCCTGAAATGATCATTATGGGGTGTAAATGAAAACGCAAACAGTTGCTCTGGACATTCTCCTGAGTTTTTCCAGCCAGCCACAGATAAAAACTCCAGATAAAGTCCAAATGAGACCATGTGAAAGTGTCTGGAAAAATCTGCAGCGAGTGAGTGGGCATGTACAAATATCTCCAAATGAGAGGTGACAAACAGTCAACTTGGAAGGATTTTTAATATTTTTCAATACGGACTGATGTTGATGTCGCATAAACATGTAGAATTTATATGTTATGTCCTGCCTCCTACATGCTCTATCCAGATGCCACCCTTCACTTGAGCGCTCTCGATATTTCCCCTGTTGTTGTGAACAGGTTTCCTGCTGCGTTATTCATATGTGAAAGGCAAAGTCCACAGAAAGTCCAGAACCAATTGTCCGGACATTTTCCAGAGTAAATATCTGAAAACAACTAAAATAATCTCGTAAATGGCTCCATGACACATTGCAAGACACAGTAGCTAAGAGCAGTTCTCCAATTGAAATGTCAGCAAACTGCACAGAGAGGCAGAACCTTGAGTATTACAAGGAGAGAAACATGTGGATAAAAACATAAGCAGTTGCAGTCACATGTTTTGGACTAAAATCTTTTCACTAAAGCACCAAACACCAGTAAGAACAGGTTCACCACACATGTACACAGAGGTTCAGAGGGTTCACTCAGTGCTGTTCTACTTTGCAAATGTCACTCAGGAAGCAGCCGACACTTAAAGCCTGCCTATATCTTCCAGATACCTCACGATCCAAATGAGGAAACTTAACTCACTGCGGCGGTAACATCTTTCACCCACAAGTGTCAGACAGGGAGCGCGCTAAGAGGTGGAGGTAATCACACATTCATCTACTCTTTTCTCCTTTTTTTCCCTCCTGCACAGAAAAAAACATTCACCCCACACTCGACACATTTACACGTTAAAGTTGTCCCCCTGTGCCTGAATATCTCCAACACTCCATATATCCATCAGCATTCTCAACAACTCCTTTTTAGATGGAGACATTCTCCGTCAGTCAGGTTCACACTGTCTCTCCTTTCAGTCTCAACATCTCTCTCTTGTTTTCTTTCATGATATCAATCTTTCGCTCTTGTTTTTCCTCTCCCTTCTCCTCCTCTTCCATTCAATTTCTTAGGCTACATCCGCACTGATTTTGTGTAGTTTGTTTTAAAATGGTGTTTTAAAACTAAAATCCTTGCATCAGTAATTATCGCCATCCGTACAAACATGGTGAAATGTAAGACGAGGGAACGATGAAGTGGAACTCTCAATGAAAGTTTACATCATTTTGCTTTTACCGCTGGCAGTTGAATTGTGACTGATACGAACCAATCAGAAGTCTGCATCATTGTGCCTCCTTTTTTTGCCCGTCCACATTACAACAAAGCATCTGAGTTTCAAGACTAAAATGGGGCCTGCAGCGTTTCCAAACTCTTACATAGGTGCATGAAAACTCTAGAGCAGTGGGATGCCAGCTGTAAAGGAGGCAACAGCAATGCTTTTTTTCAGGCATTTTTATCTTTATTGGCAGGACAGGAAGCATGAAACACGAAAGACCCAGCAGAGGGCCGTGTCAGAACCGAGCCTGTGGTTGCTTAATGAGGACTCAAGTCTCTGCATGTGGAGCACCTGCGCTACCAGGTGAGCTAAAAGGCACCCCAAACAGTGACACATTTTAAAACTAAAACACTGTAGAGTGGATGTAGCCTTGATGGGAAATGCTGTGCAAATATTCAGGTAGAATAAGTACACACGGATTTAAGCACTTGAAATCCGAAATGTTCCTGTAACTTAAAGGTGACCAAAATTAGACTCATGAGGTTTTCATTGGTCGGTGACAATATGCTTCACATCAGACATAATGAGTTGATGTGAGAAACGTTGAGGCTGCATGTTCCACTCAAAACAAAACTTTCAGTAAACACATCTGTAGTGCATTTTATACCAATGTTTATACTATATAGAAAGATAAGTGTGTTATGTGAATGTAACTTTGTAGATGCAGGGCTTGTTTTGGACTTGTGTTATATCTAAATAACTTGAGTTGAGCAGTTACTGGTCAGCTGCTGTGTGGTCACTTCCAGTCGCGGGTCATTTGAGGGTTACCTGCGGCTTCCTGGCACTGGCTGCGGTTGATGTAGGCGAAGTGGTGGTGGCAGCTCTGAGACTCGCACACACAGCCCTCGGCGGTCAGGTTACACCCAGAGAACATGCAGGCCGGGTTGGATGGTCCCACATACTTCTCTCTGTGTCTCTCCCGGTGTTCGTGCCTCCGACCCTCTGAAATCCAACCATGAACACACAAATCCGTGAGTCACACACAATGGCACCACTCAAGAGTGAGTTGACAAAAGCCTCAGCGTGTGTGTCATCACTATGATATGTAAGTAGTGTTAGTCACCTCAGAGCCACATCTGCTATGGATTAGCTCCTCTCAATGGACAGCATTATTCCCGCTAGCTCTGAGATCCTATGCTTGTTTTGTTTCATGCAAGGAGAGGGCTCACCTGACTTACTGGCCTTCATGCAGGTTTCTTGGTCTGCGTACATGAAAGAGCCCAAGCAGGAGTGACGGGTATCACACACGCACTGTCCTCCAGCCTTGTCGCAGCCTGTCATCAGGGGACAGCGCTCGTCCTCAAGGCCTGCCTCTGGATGGTCGGGGAGCACTGCAGGGGACAGTAACGGAGAACAGAGGATAAGGAGAGGACATGAACTTCTCAATTGGACATGTTTATCCTCTATAGTCATTTTGACAGTGATTAAATTGGACAGAATAACAGGTTAAGTGTAATCACATGGCAAAATGTGCCAGAAGTTGTAATTTCCCAAAAGTTCCCAAAAGAGGGGTTGGCCAGCTTACAACTTTCGTTGCGACACATTGCCCTGGCACAACAGTTGCTGAACTGACCAGTGTATTTCTAAGCTGCCATCTCTCCTCCCTCCTCGTCATGCCACGCTACTGGAGCCATTGAGCCCATTTGTTTGCTTTTGTTCCACAGCATGGGGCCCTCCCAGGGCTTCCATCTGCTGTTCGCTGCAATGCCTCTTCTGTAACCATGCCACTTGCACCATACCCACATATTGTTCATTCGCCCCTGTGAGCCTTATCCCCGGTGCCTCCACCCCACCCGAGATGGCACGTCAAGACTTGGACGAAAAAATCTTACAATGGGAAGGAATGTACGAGGGTATAATGTGTCACGTTAGTGCTATGTGAGCTGAATAACCATCAAAACCCTGGGATTAAAGGGCCCCAATGTACACTTCTTTCAAAGTCTTCCTTTCACATCCATGCATAAATAAACACACATATACCCTCAAATTACCCTCCTTCATAGTCATTCAAGAGGTAGTACGAGTGGCAGCAGAGTAAACAGGATGAGACCAACTGTTACAGTGAGTAACCCCTTTCTGAGCATTTAGCTCCCAGGCCTCAAATCAACAGTGTGGAAGCGTGATTGGAGCTTATCATAATACTCTGGCTTTCTTCTCCAAACAGCGATGCACCAGAACAATGCACAGGAGGAAAATGTTTAACTATCCAAGACAAACACGGAACACCGCATGGTATATTTACCTGACTACTGTTGTGAGCCCACCTGAAATAAGGCCTCGTAAAACTATGATCCTTCTCATTCTCAGTTAGGGGTCAGAGAAACATAAGACGGACGACGCCAAGTGATTGGAAAGGATTGGAATTCCATTGCTTTCCTTTTAAATGATGTAAATCATAATAAAACACATGTTTTGATCCATATTAATCTAAAACAGATATTCTGCTATGGGAAAGAGCCAGTCTCTTTATTATAATGAATTTCACATGATGAAGTGAGTCAATGGGACTGCAGAAACATGTATCCTTGGGCAGATGATGTGGACTTCCCTGGGTGATGCAGGACACTAACCGGCCCAGTTGTAAACAGCAACCAATGAAAGAAATGAAGGTTACGTTACCTTTAACCTGAGCCAGCCAGCACTGTTAATAGCTCTCACAGACGGCCAGCAAGACTGGCAAAGCACAAGCAGCCTTTTCAATAAACCGCACCGAAACTCTCCCTGTGATTTCCTTTCACCTTAAAATGATCCTCACCTCCACATATTTTCCATCCCGAGGCTTTCCTGTGCCTGGGAGGGTATTTTCATTTGAGTCGGTGGTAGAATGTGTCGGGTGCTAAATACAGCACAAAGAAAATGAGGTACAGGAGACAAAACAATGAATGAAGCCTGGACACTGAAAACACTGTCTCGTTCGCTGATGTTAGCTCGACTCCAGTGAGCCAAGTTTGTTATAAGCTGGACTGTATCTGTCTCGTCCCCTTCAGCCTGACCCAGCTCTGATCTGGTCCAGCCTGATTATCTATTATCTGGCCTGGCATGACTCTAGCCAAGGTCCATGGCTTCATCCCAGGAGGATTCCTCTCTCAGCCACTGAGACCGCTTGTCTTGGCATCCAGAGCCAGGACGGGAAAGCTGACCTCTGGAGGCCCTCTGGCTGATAGCGAGCTAAAAAGGAAGTCTTTGAAACATTAGATAATACCAGAGAAGTGGAAGGCATACGAAGGAGGGCAGTGGACATAACGTCCCTGTAAGACAGATACTCTTGTTACGTGGAATGGTAAGTGCCTCTGGAGCTTGGGGGAAAGTCTGTGTGGGAGGGACAGACAGAAAAAATACAATGAGATCATCAAAACAAATCATTTGCAGAGACTTGATGATTTCACCTGACAAAGCATCTGATCGCTGATGCAGCTATGACACAGTGTAACAGCTAAGATGTCACTCTGAGAACAGGTGCTTGAATGCTCATGAGACAGTTGCAGAGGGAAATGGACACAAGCTGCTATGTTTCATTCGCTTTTTGTCAGCTTCATATTTAAATACCGAACTCCTCCATGAGACAACTTGATTTGAGTGTCCAAGTATTGTTTCTGGCAAGCTACAACCTTTTTTGGGGAGCGTCTGATGCAATATTTCACTCTTAAAAGCATTACATTTGCTGGACACAACACAGTGAATTAAATACTTCCTTTGTAAAAAAAAAAAAAAAGGGAGTTAGATAACAATTCATGTCTTATTCCTTTTTGACAACAGTGTCTTACATAACATTTTCCAAATCTGGAAAACTCATTGTCCAATGACTATTGCAGCCTCCCCTGGGCATCAGAAGCCCTGAATGTTTTTAATTGTTGTTTCCAATAAGCTTTTCAATCTTGACAATGGTGAGAATAAAAGCTGATCACGAAGATATTCCTCTCATATAATACGTATGTCACCTGTATTTTAAGGTTGCTACATCCCCACGCCAACAGATTATGACCACCCAGAAAATCTAAACTGTGAGCAGAGAGGCAAGGGATCAGAAAGCGGAAACATTTACCCCCTACTCCTGATTGCGAGTCTAATCACTTTAAGACCCTTGCAGCTTGAGGAGGGAAATCTGGGATCAGCCTCCAGCAGCCTGCCTACCGTGGCCCCTGAAAACACACTCAGAGGTGTTGATTTACCCCCACCTAGTACCCTCTGGGATAGTGGGGTTGCGTGTGTATGCGCCTGATTTAGGGGTCAGCGGCATGCTCCGGGGTCCCTGGGGCCACAGGACTAGAGGCACGACTCAATCAGAGGAGCCATTAGGCCTCCCACTCGGCCCAAAGCTGTTAATTTGCAGAGATGTCCTCCAGACGCCAGCCTATAACCTGTACACGGGGCACAATCAGCAGCAGCGTCTCCTGGGATGGCCAGGGGCCGGAGACCCCTGGAAAAACCTAGTGAAGCCCTGACTCGGACCACCCCGCGGAAGGATGATGGGAGGGCAGGGTCAGGGGATCCAGACACACACTGAGAGCTGCTTTTTCTCTACAGTCCTGTCAGTCCTCTTCAATCATCCCCAAACAGACCGGACAGAATGCAGGTGGAGGGGCTGCAGGGGGGTCCTCCCACTGGGTCTTTTTTCCTCAGGGGAAGGCCATTTGCAACTTACTCCATTCACCGTGTAGAACCTGACACCCTACGCATCTCTTTGAAGTTCAGAAAGTTGCTCTAATTGTGCGTAAAATGAGCAACTCCACAGTGTAACAGCCCAGCTCTGCTTGGCAGGAACAGAAGCAAATCCAACTCTGCTGCGTCAAAGGGTAATGAAAATCTGCTGGGGGACTTTCGTAATCATGCTGTCAAACCATTGCACCTCTGAGTCACACACAAACAATACAGACAAGAAAGGGGGCAATTTATTCACTTAATTACAGTGTGTTCCAAGTTTGCACACACAATTATTGTTGGTCACACCACGGAGAACCACAATTTCACCCTCACACAGATTCAAACAGTCATTTTTTTGTCTCAATTCACAGCACCAAATGTGAATGTCTGCTTGAGCTGTGAGGCAAAAGAAGAAGCACAGGACCTACTAGAGCTGAAGTGTTACTATATTGCCAGCACCACCGCTGCCAAACTTATTGTCAAGCCTTCTGAGCTGAAAGTGAATGAAGCATTGAGGAGGAAGAAAGAGCAGCTGAACATGACTCCTCTCCTGGCAGTCAAGAGCCCCCTCAGACCTGGGCAGCAGCTCCAGGCAGCCAGAGACAAGGTAAACAGTGACGCATAGTCACAGCCATCAGGGCTGAACTGACACTTGAATAGTCGTGCCCTCAAGACACTCAAAAAGAAAGGGACGGCTGCCTGCTGCTCTTTTGTGACACACTCAACAACATTAACAGCTTTCTTTTTATTGGATCTCCGCTTATGGTTTCTATATAATCATTACACAAAATAGCCCAATCGTTTTAATCAGCTTCACACGACACACTTTCACTTCTACCGACCTTTACACACTCCAATCTCAGGGATAGTGGCCGCTCCGGATCTGTTGGTGGAGGCGCACGTCAGCCCCAGGGCGCAGTAGCCGTGCGCCCAGTCCTGTCCGCCGCAGGGCTCCCACTCCAGGCGGGCGCACTGGTCGCAGCATCCGCACGGATCCCGGGCCAAGGTCCGGCCACCCTCGCACCCGTGGGCGGCTTTCACCGGACAGGTCCGAAGGTTACATGGCGTGCACTCGTGAGCCGAGAGCGCCCGCACTAGAAAGAGGACGTTCAATAAGACAACGGAACACTTGCTGAACATGTTTTCAGAAAAAAAGAGTCTTCTGTTTTAAAGTTTCCCAGAGAAAAGATCCGCGCTCCTGTCAAATGGTGAGCTGCGCACTACTGCCAAAGTTGCAAAGTCTCCTTTAAAGTTTGGTGATGGTTCTTCCCTCGGGTGCGCTGTTCATTACGCAGCAGCTCGCTCCTAAGAGGAAATAAATCACCACGAGTCTGGAGTGTGCGGATGCGTGAGGTGGCACCACAGTATCCAGTTCAACGCAAACAGGTAGACGCGCGTCCCAGGCGTCTCATCCAGTTAATGCGCACAGAAATCCCTAGACCGAGGCTGGTGCACGTCCACTGGGGCTGGCTGCTGCTGACAGGCGCACACGGGAGAGCAATATGAGCCCTGATTTGACATACAGGCATATAGAAATTAGCTGTGCACCCCTCCCCCTGACTGACACAAGAGCCGACCAGTCACAAGGAGCGAAAGGAGGGAGGATTTGAACTGATTTATCTCCCTCTCTGGGGTTGCGCAATGATGCAACTTTGAATGTCTTCGATGCATGTTCCCCTTTTCTTCTGCGTGCTTTGTAAATGAGTGGAATAGCGAGAGTTACAGCATTTTAATATGTTCAAGCAGTGTGACATAAATGAGCCAGATCCAGGTCATAAATCTGAATCACAGCTACACCAGTATGTGTATGTGCATTATACAATTACTGCATCTCAATTCAGTTGTTTCGTTTAGTTCCAAATACCAAACATACATTATCTCAAGGCACTTTTGGTCGAGATGTTATAAAATGTTAGAGGAAAAAAAGTACTGGTCACTGTGGACGGAACCTCAAGCAGAACCCGACTCAGTGTGGGTGATATTGTGCCTCAACCAGTTGGGGTGAGCAAGAAAAATGGGGGAGATCAGAGGTAGGTGGAAAAGAGTAGAGAGAGAGTGGGGCATGGGAGTGGGAAAAGAGAGGGAGAAAGAAGAGAGAGATCAATAACAGTTGTGCAACCTTCATATTTACTCTACATGTACATTACATTACGATTACAGTAAGGCTCTTGTCACCACTGTTCTAATTGTTCTCTGTTTCTACTCAACAATACCCTGATAAATTCTGTCAAAGCCTCAGGGTCAAACATATCAGGCCTTATCGAGGCCATATATCACTCCTCGGCTTTACCTTTTGTGTGTGTTGTGTGTGCATGTGTGTGTGCCTACACGTGATTTCAGGTGTCATATTGTGTGTGGCTTCTGGGAGGTAAAAGGTCACCTGATGTTTGCTGAAGTGGTGTTTGTGTGCTCACATTGGCAGATGGGTGGTGTACGTGGGGGACAGTGGGCACAGCTGGAGGCCATGTTATGACAGAAGGCATCAAAACAAAAAATCCAGAGAAAACAATACTGCTGGAAGAAAGAGATATGAAGTTGCTGTTTGTTCCTGTTTTCTGCGGGGAAACAAGCAAGAGTAAAGCAGTTTTCCCCATGGTGACACATCACTCATATATGTAGTGATACTTCAGTTTTCTAAACATGGAGCTGACATCCAACTCCATGCAACTGAAAAGTGATTAATACAGAAATATCCGATATCGAAAGTGAGGACGGTCCAGTACAGGGGATTTTTTCTCACTGTCATTGGAAACATTTAGTCTTCAAACACCAATCAGAAGTCATCTGGGATGCTTTTTCCCCACAATGTCAACACACAACAGCACCTCCTTCATTTGCAACATCTGCCTGGAGCCACCCGCTCCAACACAAACACAACATCCAGGAAACCATCCCCACAGCACGCATAATCAGCGCTTGCAACACAACTCGGCTCTTGTCCTCCCGCTCTCCCTCCAAACCTCCCTCGCTCCACCCCCCCTCCTTAAAGCTCTTGTCGAATGGGCCGACCCGCTGACCGCTCACTGCTGGTTGACGACAGATCACACCAGGACCTTGGGGAGCCATCGGTTTCCATTCACTTGCAGAGATTGTGGCCCAGGCGGCTCTGCCCTATTTGCCTGGGTGATGGCCTTTCAAATGGGGCGAGCTGGCTGCCCTCAGAGGCCTCTCGTCCCCTCATCCTGCTATCATGGACCGAGGATTTCTGACCGGCTGAAAGGTCACAGCAGCATCTTCTGTTTTTCTGTCTGCACCAGCAATTGGATATGTAAATGGTGAAAGCAGAGCATGAAATGAGTCAAGGGGCAACAATAAGCAATACAATGATGGGGACCAAATTAGAATACTCCCTCATTAGACTCACTCTGGGCACATGCCCTGTGTCAAATGTTGCATGAATGTGGGAGTGGGAAACTCTCCCTGTTGTTGATGTCACATTATCCATCATTCTGGCTTTGTTAAGTGCCAAATTAGGTCCAAACAAAACTAATCAGAATTGAATTGTGCCATGGTTTAAAAACCAGTGCACAATGTGCTACTCAATGTGCCGGGCTGTTGGAAAAATGTACATGAGCGAAGCAAACAGGGGAAAAGGTGGGGCAGGGAAAGGACCTTAATAACTGCACTGTGTGTGTGTACTAAATGATGTTCTGAGTCATGGATCTTTGGGAAAATACAGCAGTAGAGGCGCCAGCTTCACTCTCTCCTACAACGAAAGTCCCTGGTGTGGTGACTGGGATCCTCAGCAATTATACAAAAGCACGCACATCCAAACTTGATGAACCCTTGGTGCTGGACAGAAGTGACGAAAACCAGAAGATGAGAAATGTCCGGACACTAGCTGATGCTCCTACAAGATTTTCTTGAAACGTCACCGTCCTGGGAGGTAAAAAAAATAAAATAAACCCCAGCCCTCTCAGAAGGGGTGGGTGGTGGGGTGTCACACTGCTGGGATCTGTCCCCTACATCAGCTGACCTCTCTTCTGTCACCCACTCCTATTGCTTCTCATGTCCGGCCGGATTTACACCCTGCTGCTGTGGTGCCGAAGAGGTGTTTTCTGGGATGTGGACGGGTGTGCGTGATGGTTTGGAGGTGAACTAACTGGTGGCAGCAATACGAGGCAAAGGGTGACACGGGGGCGGAAAGTGGAGTGGCATACATGGAGCATGTTGAGTGGACAGCGTGTGGCACACGGGGATGTGCTCAGGGCTTTTTCTCCAAGTGTGCAGTGGTGGTTATCACGCTTGCCTGGCTTATCTGTGAGTGCAGGGTGTTGGACTGAGCCATACTTCTCCAATTCAGGCCAATGGGTGGGGGGTCGGTGAGGCGTGGGAGAAGGGTGGGTGGCTGAGGGGGCATAATGGCAATGCACTCTGACAGTTGAAAGAGTTTAAAAGCCATTCAGTACTAAATAGCGGAAATATGGAGCATTTAGTCCGGAGTCTAAGCAACCCTAATGAACTGATTGTTGGAAACTCAGAACATATGAGGTCATCTTGTTTTCTTTTACATGAGCGGCCAAAATAAGACTAAAAGAAATCAGATATATGATAGAGAGGTGTGAACAAACCAAACCTTCTAGAAAAATTAGCCACAATGATTAACAGATGCGACACAGCAATTTTCTTTTGACACAGACAGCTGTACAGCACATTGAAGGAATAATCAACAGCCATGATAACTCTTTTCCGTTACTGCCATCCAGAGTGCTTTTGTTTCTCACTTTGTACCCCTCATTTGTTTGGACCAATGTAGAAAGTAAAAAGTGGTGATCGGAAATAGTCAGAGGAGTCCGACAGAGAGAGTAACTCATCACGAGGGAGATCACGCAATATTTTTTTTTCTTTCTATTTATGCTGTTTTCCTCTCTCTTTTTAGGTCCTCAGTTTTCTTCCAGTTCTCTCTCAGTCTGTTTTCTCTTTCTCTGTGTGAGGTCTGATCCATTTGCTGTTGTCCTTGCGGGGGTCTATAATAACATGCTTTGACACTGTCAGGTCTCCTGCAGTCTTCTTTTTTCTTTCTCTCCAAACCCTCAGAATAATTGCAGCAGCAGAACACACAACTTCTTCTTTTGACTATAAGCAGTCCAGCTTGATCCTTAAAGGTTTCAGTTGGTTCAAACAGCCCAGAGGGTCAGGTACGCCACTTCAGCTTTGTAGTTTGTGAATTGGCTGTTTTTTCTTGTGAAGTAATGGGGAAAGGATGTAAACCTAAGCAGATGGCTGGTCATCTAGTTAATCCTGACATGTGAATAACTACAATCTGAGGTAATACAAATGTGTTTTGCACTTGTTTTCATGAGGTGGGAAAGACTGATGTGATTTGATTGGATGTGCGGGAGGAAGAGCCCCTTTCCTGCCACATACACTATTTTTTTCAACCATTTGTTGGGTGGATAACCATCAAATTTTCAACCAACATTCATGGTCCCCAGAGGATGTTAATGACTTTAGCCATCATCTCATGACTCATCCAGCACAAATCAATTTATTGTAAATTAATAATTAATAAATAATCATTTTAATCAAAATTGTATAATCAGTATTTTGGTTTAAGTTTCAGATACCTGCAATAATATCTAACGAGATGCTCACTAACCTCTGCTGTGCTTCCTATTTTGGGCCAATTTGCAAACACTAGCTTGCTAACAAGCTAAATAAGATGGCAAACATGATAAGCATCTGCAGTTAGCATTGATCGCATGGATCAAGTAAGTGCTAATAAAATAACTATACACCTCACACTGTGTCGCCTTACCAACAACTTCTAAAACTGCAGTAATGACGCATGAGGTTTCTGGGTTCAACTGGCACCTTGAGTCACTGTGAGTCAGACCCCAGACCCTTCCTACTGCTGTGGCTCAAATCCTCTGGCAGCAGATTGTGCTGGGCCTCTTTCTCTCCCTCCATCCCCTCCACATGGTGAGATCCTGTGACCTTGCGGAGCGAACGGCCAACAGCTTGTTTGACAATTATAAGTGGCATGGTCTCTCACCCCTGTCGTGCTCCGGCGGAACGCTAAGTGGACCTCTCAGAAGTTTTAATCTGCAAATCTATGCAATGATGGTGGATTCCTCGGTGGATTGGAACCATGGACTGTATATAAAGAGATTGGAACCCAAAAGAAGCCTCTTGCCTTGTTCCCACAATACCTCCCCAGTGTAATCTTCCCTTTCATACATGGGATAATTGAGACAAGCCACAGTTACAAGAAATGAGTAGAGGGCGAGGCTGCATTGCTGATTTTCTGTCCAGTCATAAACCCCTTTCAGTGGGCGTAGCTGGAGACATTTGTCATTTAGATGAACTGAAACTGTCTTGAGCTTGTGTGTGAATATGTAGGTCTCAACATGTTTCCTTAGGATTGGCCGTTCTCCCAGGTAAAAATCTACAGATTACTTGGTTTGATATGGATCATGTTGTCAGACATCATCAACACCTCATCCTCTTACTGGATATGTTGCCATGAGGATTTAT